AGGTCACACATAAACCTACCTGATAGGAGTATTAAGGTCACACATAAACCTACCTGATAGGAGTATTAAGGTCACACATAAACCTACCTCATAGGAATACATAGGTCACACATAAACCTACCTGATAGGAGTATTAAGGTCACACATAAACCTACCTGATAGGAATTTACAACCACACTCGTCCCANCTAGGAACTAGGGAATCAAGTACATTAATCCACTAGGAACTAGGGATCCAATACCTATCCACCAAAATAGGAAAACCACTGCATTGATATACTAGAAACAAGGTAGACCACTGTACCACACTGGTAGGAACTATGGAAACCACTGAGTTCTATCACCAGGGATAGACCACTGCACCATTGCGTTCTAAACCTGATAGTGCACATTAGAAACAAGGGAGACCATCTGCAGTAGAACTGATAAGGACGAAAATATCTAGGAACTCCACTTACGCATTCCTTTAACGACAGGCTTGTCAACAGCTATAGAAAAGTATTTTTTATTACATAAAATGACAAACAACTACCTGAAGGAAAAAGTTTACAATGTTTCTGATGTACAGTATATCTCACAAATTGAGCAGTTTCTTAATCACAAGACTTTTACAGGACAAATCTGGCTCAATGCAAAATTAAGACAATACATCACAAAGTGTGATTTGCAAGTTCATCAAAAGTTTTGTCAATATGTCAGTGTGATGTCCAGAAAGTGACCAATTGGTGTGGTCTGGCAGAACAAAGTGTTAGACTGAGGGCCTCTTCTGGCAAACAAACAGTGTGAAAGAGTTGTCTGCCCTTTCTACCAGTAGTGAGATATTCTTTACAACAATACTCAGGTGTTCTACAGGTAACACCCACATCTACTTATATATATTATAGTGCATATATGTGGAGACAAATTTACACACACAAATAAACAAGGTCTTAAAACCACTCAGGACAACACTATAACAAAGTGCTTATGGATGATGTGCTTTCAACATAAATGTTGAATGAATTTAGAAGTGCAATACTCTAGTATCACAAAGGTTACTTGTTCACATCATATTCATTTAGAACATTTATTACAAAACAAAATAACAACTAAACATTAATGAAAGCAGTGAAAAAGGATGCATGTGGACAGAATAAGATTGTTACCTCCTCCACCCCAACCACCACCTTGTAATTATAAGAAATTCAACAATTCATTTTATCTTAACATACCAGAAACTTAAACAAATACACACTTCAAAAAGAAACAAAAATATATATGTGTATAATATATCAGGTCTTTCATAGAATATAAGACATATTTACAAGCAGAATTAATTAATATAGAGCTAGACTAGTCCAAATAAGGTAATCATGTACAAACAACAGTGCAGGTAATGGTGATGTCATGTCCCGTGCCCCCGACGTCCGTCAGGGTGAATTAGGGCACAGACAGTTAAAATAGAGATAGATGAGAGTTATGTGCTTTGCAATGACTCTATAAAGGTTAAATCCTTTGGCTCCAATTCCTTAAAAAAACTTCAGACTCAGGCTCCATTTTTTTACACATCAAAACTTCTGGACTTTCAATGTTTTCTCTTAAGCGATATTGTGTACACTCTCCTACAAATTTGAAATTTTATCTATATGACAATAAAAATGCCTTCCAACACCCTCATACTGTATCTTTATTTGTTTACTTTCATACAAGTATCTTTATTTGAAACTTTGAAACTGTAGTATGAATCACATTAACTCAACTAAGATTGATATATTATACAAATTAATAATTGCCAAAAAATTAAGTTAGTTTCAATGGAAAAATATTAAGTCCATAAGTAAGAGTATTTTTGTTTTCAACCTGAAGCATGAATAAATAGATTACATAAATAAGTATCANAGCGTCCTGAACGATGTACTGCGGGGCCCGACTGCAGCAATCGCAGCAGGGAACTAGACTACATAATGTTCCGTAACTAATCGAAACGAAAGATGGAAGTGAAACTTCACCCCTTTTTTCATAATCTCAGGTGTACAGTAAAATTTCTGGAGTGCCGAGTGGATTTTTCATGACACTAGGCACAGTGCCTAGTGGTTTAAAAAGTTTAGCCTGAGCCCTGAAACCTACCTGATAGGAGTATTAAGGTCACACATAAACTTCCCTCATAGGAGAACTTAGGTAACCTACCTCATAGGAGTATAAAGTTCACACACAAACCTACCTCATAGGAGTATAAAGGTCACACATAAACCTACCTCATAGGAGTATAAAGTTCACACACAAACCTACCTCATAAGAGTATAAAGGTCACACATAAACCTACCTCATAGGAGTACATAGGTCACACATAAACCTACCGGATAGGAGTACATAAGTAACCTATCTGATAGGCGTACAAAGGTCACACATAAACCTATCTCATAGGAGTACATAGGTCACACATAAACCTATCTCATAGAGTACAAAGGTCACACATAAACCTACCTCATAGGAGGATAAAGGTCACAAATAGACCTGCTTGATATGAGTACAAAGGTCACACATAAACCGAAATAATAGGAGTAAAAAGGTCACAAATACATCTACCTGATAGGAGTAAAAAGGTCACAAATACATCTACCTGATAGGAGTATAAAGGTCACACATAAACCTACCTGATAGGAGTCTAAAGGTCACACATAAACCTACCTGATAGGAGTACATAGGTCACACATAAACCTACCTGATAGGAGTATATAGGTCACACATGAACCTACCTGATAGGAGTATATAGGTCACACATGAACTTACCTGATAGGGGTACATAGATCACACATAAACCAAACTAATAGGAGTACCTTGGTCACACATAAACCTACCTGATAGGGATATATAGGGGGATGGGGGCACTCAGCCTACTACCAAATGTAAAAAATTCAGGAACAATATTTAAAAAAAAAAATGTTGCTCCAAGGAAAAGAAACCAATTAGAATTGTAGCCTACAGGTTAATTTACCATCCCCATCTCCCACACATAACTCATACAAAAGTTGTAAAAATAAATGGCAAACTCACATACTGATTATGTGTATCAAATTTCATAAATATTGCTTTAAAAGTTATGTCTCAGAATTTTGGACAATACTTATTTATTGAACTCAGAAAAGGGGACATAACTCCAATAAAATAGTCAAAATCAAAAATAAATTACAAGCAAGTATTGATTATTTGTAGCAAATGCTACAAGTATTGGTCAAAAAAGTCTGCCATAGTACTTGGGACAAAATTTATAAGCAGATATCAGAAAAGGGGAGGTATCTTGTCATAATAAAAAAAAATGCAAGCACACAACTAACTAAGGTACTGATGATGGTTGTAAATGTTAATAGAAAATTGGATTAAAATGTGAGGAGTGATGCATCAGGACAACTTTTCAGGGGATAATGTCTGTAACCAATACACAGAACACAGCAATACTAATGCATTTACTGCATTGGTCCTGTTTACTTATTTTCTGTAAAAACAAATCTGATTTGTCACACTTTCCAATAATTACATGAAGTAACAACTAAATATAGCTGGGTTGACCATACTTAGAGTTTTTTAAGGACCTCTTTATTTTACTTACAACAGGTATGTCTGTTGAGTTTATAATACAGACTGAATACAATGACTTATATCCATACTGATTGTGCAAAAAGGAACGTGCACTTAAGAAAAACGGTTTGTCACAGTGAGTTACCATTAGTTTGATGCACTATACTGTAGTACAGAATAGATGGTCATTAATTCCTGTTTGTTTTATACATTAATTCTTGTGCATTTTATATATTAGTCCGATAATTCATTCTGAATAATGTGGAAATCAATTTAAGCATAAAGTGAGAAAAAGTGAGATTAAAAAAAAAAAGATAAAAAAGCATGTTTTCAACCAATAATCTGATATAATACAGCATGATAAACCAATGTGTGTTGCTGAGAACTAAGTCTACTGAAGGATAGGGCCAACAAGATAGAGACACTTACCTTTGTTTACTACAGTCATACAAAGCAAGCAAAAAACAGACATGAGACTGGGAACAGTCAGCATGCTCTCTGCGTGGAGACATGTACACACATGATGCCATGATGGCCACAACCACCAAACATATACAAACGATTTATACAATAGTACCGTCAGCAACACTGTCTGCCATTGGGAAGGGTCTACCGACTCATCAAGGCATAACCATCTACTCTTACCTTTTTCTATACCTTACAATTAAAACTACACTAAAAGTATAGGTCTGCACTTATTTAATTCTGCTTCTTATCCTTTGCTGATGTGTATTTTGATAAAACTCTGTCCACTAATTTATCTTAACATTCTTACAATATTATAAACATTTCTAATATGATTTATAAAGATTTTATAACCATATCATATAACATTACACTGTGATTTCTACAGCATCCTATGAGTAATGTTACAATATTACTGGTGTTCATAAATAAGGCATTTTCCACAAAATAATGTCTTAATTGTAACCTCCCCCAAAATATTTTCTTCCATGAGCTATTACTAAATCAAAATTACGCAAATATTGTCAAGGGAAAACAATGGACACCAATATAGTTCTATTTTAAGCATTTTGTCATGAGAGACAGTAGACCCTGTAAGAGGGAAGAGTAGAGCCATACTGTGAGAAGAATGGCATGTGCTCATTCAGTGAAGGATATACATTGTCTCAGGTGAACGGTCACACTCAAGTCTCACAACAATCTTACTCCACATCACAGGGAGACAAAGTAACCACACACAAGTAGTGGCTATGTAAGGAAACACAGTAGTTATAACCACAGGTAGTCAAGTTCATTACACTGTAACACAGTCTTCAAACCTGGTACATTCAGTTACTAACCAGACTTTGTACAGATAACCAGGTACATGGAGTTACTAACCAGAGTTTGTACAGATAACAAGGTACATGTAGTTATACTAACCAGAGTTTGTACAGATAACCAGGTACATGGAGTTACTAACCAGACTTTGTACAGATAACCAGGTACATGTAATTACTAACCAGCCTTTGTACAGATAACAATTTCCCTGTGTGTTTATAATTATTTTGAGTAACTTTCTATATGCTATCCAGACAGACAAAACTTAACATTCACTAGCGAGACACTGTTTATAAGTCAAGAATAACCTTAAGTATTCCAAAGATGGATATCTCTGAACTCCAATAATGTCTCCACAGCATTAATACAGCGGTGCATGTTTGCAGGCAGTGTCAAAACAGTAACATTAGTACACTGTGGTCCATTGTTTTGCAAATTCTAAAGTAAACAGGTTTTACAAATGACTGCCAAAGCTTATCATTTCATTACATATCGCTACTTATCTTGACAGCTAGTGTATCATTATTATTATTATAACCACGGTTAAACAATCACACAGCTGCTCTTTTACCTCCTCTGAATATCATATCAGGATGTCTTATTAAAGTTACCTTATGCTATGCGCGATGTAAAAAAGCCTGTAATGTACAGGACATTAGGACAACCTGCAGTCATCATACAAGTCTCTCATATATTACATAATCTACCTCCAAAAATATTAACATCAACTTAAAAACAAGAATACATAAGGTCTTCTTGAGGTCGTTACTTGTTCACTAAATTGAATGCATACATATGTAACCCAGCTGAGCAAGGGAAGTACAGGTATGTGTGTGTATGAATCTCCTTCAGGTGTGGACCATAAACTTGACAGATAATGTTAAAATCAACAGGCAATTCAAGTACAACTTCATCATTTATATTTTATACATCTGCAATACTAATCAATGGTCAGAAAATCTTGAGAAGGATTTGCCATGCTTTTACCTGTGATTTAGTAGTCTTTTTATACTGCTTTAACAATTCACTCAGAATAATTTTACAACTTATTTTTCACCATTTACAATTTAACCAAGTTGTTAGACCACAAACAGTCAGTTTGGACACAGGGAGGTGTTTCCTAAGAAAACATCAGAATAACATCAGTTAACATTCTCATTCAACTATGGATTCCTGAAAATGTTTCAATTCTTACCCAGTGAAACTTGTTAGAGGGTTTCCTCACACATATAATGGGATGATGATCACACGAGAGCAGGTGGGATTACACGGAAGCGTTAATTGGTACAACCCAAACCCGTAGCATTACTTTGGTAATTAGGTTGATGAAGTAGACACGTTATATAGGCAAAAAAATCACTCCTTCACCTCTGGTACGATTTACAAACACAACCTCATGCTTAGTCGTCAATACATATACAGCAAACACACATGTAATCACACAGTATAACCAGTTATAACTGATGTTGATCATTATAAATCCAGTCTCCCATCTTGTGTACCTAACATCTTTAACACCTGGTCAAGTATAAATATATATACTACTAGGAAATTTAACGGGGACTGTCCACAGCCCTCACAGATATACTTACTAGAGAAGTTCCTCGTAGCCAACATTGTAGTAAGAATTGCACCCTGAAATAGGAACAGAGTTTTCATTTATTCAACACAATATCAGTAAAACTTTAAAATAATATCAAAATATCTCATGGTTTCTACACTATATTGAAATCAGGGAAATTCATGTCCGTACCAACTTAACCCTTTCACACCTAGGTAACTTGAGTAGACTCTACTATAAATTTAACTGGGTGTTCCATTATGGTCTACAGTGGTGAAAGGGTTAAGGATGCTGTATTCATTTCATTAAAAATAATTATATAATTCATTTGCAATGTTTCGACAATAGTATTTTGAAATGGATTTTTTTTTCAAGTTTTTTTTTTTTCTTAACATAAAGTGTCAAGTATACCTATACTTAGATCCGTTTTGATGCACTCGTCTATTAAGCTTCATGAAACATTCCTTCAAAAAAAGATATCACATGGAAACCATTTTTGTGCACCATTCCACAAACCCTATGTGTCATATTTGCTTTACTAGTAACACAAAAACACTGATCAATAAAAAATTGCTAGTTTAGTGTAATATGGAAATGTCCTTTTCATAATATGTTCTAGTTTATAAAAAATAATACAATCTGGATACATACATAGAGAAAATATTCAGAGAATTATTTCTCCTTTTTGAGCGCAGGACAAAAAAATTACTACCACCAGTGTAAGATTCTTAAATGTCCAGTCATTTTAAGTCGGACACGTACAGTTAAGAGTGTTTATCTCCACCTCAAAGTTACGAATGATTATTTTCTCTTATTCCTTAACAGACTTGTTTTGGTAAAAAGTTAACCTGTAATACCAACTTAGGAGATTTTATGTGATGTTATCTGAATATAGATGTCAATAGTGTTCATGATGTCACAATATGAACTGCGTTTCTGGATCAACACATTTTAGCTTGTCAGGGATACCAACAGGAATATCCTATGTACAGAGACCCACAGATAAATGTAGCCAGAGTGTGAGAACAGACTAATATGTATGTTACTGAAGATGCAATACGCATAGAGAATACTTTTTATTTTCTCAGGTATAGCCAAATGAAATAACATCCTATATGTTTAGACTAACAGTGTCATACTATATATACGGAGGCTCACTACCTGAGACTTTTCCTCAGAGGAATTTGAGGACAAAGTTAACTTTTCCCCTATTTCTTCCTCCTCTTCTTCAATTTCTTCCTTTTCCTCTCCCTTCTCTTCCTTGAGATAGTCTGAAGACATGTCAATGAGGTTTAACTGTGTGTCCTCTGTTGACAAGTCGGACCCATCAGTAATGTCATTCTGGTTAACCACACCACTCTCTAATAATACTTCATCAATTCTGACCGCTGTGTTTGTGCGTAATTCTGCATTTTTCGATGTCTTGTACAATTCTTTAAACTGTTTATTTCCCTCTGATCCAACATGCTCTTGTTGCCTGTTAGGGTTGTCTTCATCATTGTTCCGTTCCACTAATTCTACATCTTCATTACTCTGTACTAATTCTACATCCCCATTACTCTCTTCTAATTCTACATCCTCATTGCTATACACTAAACCAACATCCTCAATGTTTTCCATCATAAAGTCTATTTCCATTTTTACTCCATTTGTTTCTGTAGTATTTGCATCATGAGATGTTTTTAACTTTGCTTGCTCACAGTAAAGCTCTAGTTCCTCTTGAAAGTTAACACCCATTAACCCTACTTCCTTCACCTCTGGTAACACAAGAACATTGGTAAGGTCTCTTTCCAAGCAAAGGTTATCACTTCCCTCCTCCGTTTTGGGGTAATGTTTTTCTTCCTTTCTTACAACATCATTTTTTGTGTTTAAGTCTGCCTCGAAATTTGGTACTTCACTTCCTGCGGAAGCCTTCACATCTTGCTGAGTTTCAGGGAGTATCACCTCTCTCTCAACAGAAAATTCCATGCATGAAGGACTACATTCACTGTCAAGAAATTGTTTCCCGCAGTACACATCCAAGAATACAGGGTGTTTGTAAGATTGCTCACTTTTGGTTATAAAATCATGCTCAGTTTCTAATGAATCAACTCTTTCTATATCAAATTCTTTTTCCAGTGAATCAACACCTCTAAAACAAGACAAACTACTTTCAAGGAATTTTTTCCCACAGTATATTTCCAAATCTTCATGCCATGTGACTAGGTAATCATCATTCACATCCCTCTCACCTTCCTCTGATTCACTTGCTGTCGGACTTTTAGAATCAGAATGAATAGTGTTATCTAGACATTTCTGTACACAATAAATCTCTACAACTTCCTGTAAAGTTTGTACAGAGATGTTTTCAGAATCAAATATCTTTTCCTCCAGACTTTCACTTAATCCTGCTTCCCCACATCTCTCCAATGCTCTTTCATTATCAACTAACCCCATTGCTTGTGTGTCCTCTAATTCATCATCCTCCACCTCCCCCTCTATCTGGTATGTGGATTTTGGTGTGCAATCAGTCTCAAGAAAACGTTTACCACAGTACACAGTTAAATCCTCCTTTTTATATAAATCTTGATTAACTTCATCCTCCAAATTTAAATTTTCCTCCATCATTGTATCATCCGTATAAGAGGAAAGTTTTTCGCATGAAGGTTCACTGTCAAGAAACCTTTTGCCGCAGTATAGTTTGGAGACATTGATATGGTACTTAGAACAGTCTCCTGTGATCTCCTCCAGAGCCATCTCAAAGTCTTCCTCTGTGTATGAGATTGTTTCATTTCCTGGGTTGTTAATATTGTACATCCAACCACTAGAATTGTCAGGCTTTGTTAAACCACCGACTGTAAAAGTTTGATCTGTATCATCACACATGGCACTTAAGGAGATGCAGTACTGGACACACCGAGATGTTATAGGTATTCAAAACTATACTTATTTCAAGCAAGTGCCCAATTTTAGACTCTTTCACAGATTTCAGTAATTAAATTCCACATGATGAATAGAGTAGAAGTTATAAACTTTTAAAAGTCAAAACTAATGCATTACAACAAAAGATTAAGCCAGTTTAACGAAACGTTTGATGACTACACAGGGATCTTCATCCATACACATGCTTTGTACAACGGTGGCATAATTCCTTTCACCTTGACAATGACAGGTGAGTAAGAAAGACTTGTGTTACATGAATATTGTTGTATGATAACACTTCATGTCAACTGCCTGGACGCAGTCAAGCAGGGAGAATCAACACACCTTATGTAGAGGTATGTAACCACTGGAAAGTCTCCACATAAATGTCCCCCTGATAACGGCACTACCTCCAGCCACAGCTTCACTGTTAGGGGACATACTTTATACACCACACAGGTAAAACTCTAAATATATCAAACCTTCCTAGATACCTGAATAATGCATGACCTTCATAATCAGACACTGATTGATCACAGAAAACTGATTTATACCATGAAATTTCCACCTACAATATTCTTATGTTTATATACGGGGTCTATATATTAATATTTTAATTGTAATTTGATAATATTGACTCTAATAAGTACAATATCTCTGTCATTACTTATTTTAATTAATCATGTATATTAGATAGCTAAGTTAATTAATATATAAAAATAATGCGATATTAAGGCAAAAAGATTACAATTACATGTAACTGAACCAACCTTGTCAATTTCAAAGATCAATAGAAAGGTGGAGACAAAATAATTTATTATTCATTTTCAAGTCACTATGAAGGCTCCGCTCCACCTATCAAACAGTCACGAAAAATCTCCAAATAGGTTTCCTGACAGTTTTAAGAGTTTTATTTTTCTTAGTTGTCACAGAAATCTTTTTGAACTGCATTTCAATATGTACAAGGTGATCATGGAATGACACAGGGGTGTTCTGGTGCCAAGGACAGTATCACATGTACAGGTATTACGAAATGTTTTGTACCCTTTTACCGCACTTCTGCGTATTTGCCACTTTACTGATAACGTAACTATAGGTAAACAAGGTCTCAGTGGTGCTGTCATCTGATAAGGAATCGGGTGACCTATAATATCTTTGTTTCTCAACCTGTGAGCGGATATAAAAACATAACACAAAATTTCCTTTAAAAAAAAAAGAATTCCGTCGGCCTACCAATATAAAGACCCAGACAACACAGGTAGCCCAAATATAAAGATATTTATAGCTGTTTGTCCAAATATAGAGATATTTATAGCTGGTTGTTCCTGTCTTCATCAGTGTCCTGGACAACGGAGAAAACCTGACCTTTCTATATGAAGTCTGAACGTCTAACCATTGGGGCTTTAACTTACATTATCCTTTACCTTCATTAACCCTGCTATCAAATGCCCAACACTGATGGCATATGAAGTCTTACTGATTAACTAAAATCAAACGAAGCTTTGGTTTCACTAAATATCTTAAGGATGTTTTCCTTAGCTTAAATTTTCCTCATGGGGAAACATTTTTGCCAATCTCTTAGAGTTAAACATCAAGTCATGAACTGCCAAAACAAGAATGAATGGGTCAAATCAAGAGTCATGTGTGCGACAACATTTTTACAATAAACACTAACAAAACTTGACAAGTTTGTAATGTGGTAGATATTCACATCTTTTAGAATGATACCTGTCCTCATTAATCATGCATAAATATGCATGCATCACACTGCAGATTGAGCTTAGCTGAGTCTTGTAATTAGGTATGTGCATATAAAATTTGGTTGAAAGCAGACCAAGTAAAGGGCAGTTAATGAACAGAAACTGACATGTGACAATCACCTGTTTTTTTCTGAAAATACAATATGCGATCAGTTTGCATCTTTTCTTAGACAGGATAAAAAAGTGAGCCACAAGCCACTAACAGTAGATAGTTAATGAATTAACTCCAAACTCTGTGAAATTTAAAAGCTTCAGGAAGTGTAGGCGGGCAGGTAAAACGCTACAGGTAGACAGCTGTCCTAAACAAATAATCCAACTTTGTACACCTGCACTTAAAGCCTGTTACCTTTTATTGCAGCATTATGCAATATATTCAAATTCGGGGAGTCTTTCTTTTACTGGGAAAAATGCCAGTCTACGTAATGTTGTAACACCTATAAGATAGTCGATATAGCATGGTTCCATATCATTAGAATTGCATATGTTAGACTTAGTACTATGGTAGCGGTGAATAATGACAAATGTAACAAGAGGTCCCGAGGGCCTGTATCGCTCACCTGAATATGTTTAAAATAATTGGTATGAAGTAGGTGCTGTAAGTACATATGAAATTTCAGAAAGATCCATCCAGTACTTGAGATATAGCGAGAACAAACTTCAAACAGAGCCCTGCACCCCTATGCAAATTAGGGGAGTCATACCCACCAATTATACAAAATTGAGTCGCCTTGACTCAAGGATGCTCCAGACTAAACAAGGATAAAATCCATTAATCCAGATGGTCGAAGAAAGATTTTTAAGGTTTTACCTCTATTTCTACAATTGGGCCCTGCCCTTCTGCCCCCTGGGAGACCACACCCAGGCCACTGCTTATACAAAATTGAGTTCCCTTGGCCCATTGATGCTCCAGACTAAATTAGGATAAAATCCCTTAATCTCTATGGTAAAAGAAGGATTTTAAAGGTTTTACCACTATTTCCCCTATTGGGCCCCACCTCTCTGCCTCCAGATGTGACAGATACACCGTTTATACAAAATTGGTTCCCCTTCACCCAAGGGTGCTTCATACCAAATTTGGACAAAATCCTGTCATTCCTACAGAAGAAGAAGGATTTTGAAGAATTTGCTATGTTTCCCCTATTGGGCCCCTCCCTTTTGCCCCCAGGGGGGCCACACTCGCTGTTTATACGAAATTGAGTCCCTTTTGCCTGAGGATGCTCCAGACTAAACTAGGATAATATTCCTTAATCCCTATGGTAGAAGAAGGATTATAAAGGTTTTACCTATATTTCCCCTAATGGGCCCCGCCCCTCAGGTCCCAGGGGGGCCAGACCCACTGTTTATACAACATTGGTTCCCCTTTACCCAAGGATGCTCCACACCAAATATGGACCAAATCCTTTCATTTCTACAGACGAAGAACGATTTTAAAGAATTTGCTATATTTCCCCTATTGGGCCCCGCCCCTCAGCCCCCAAGGGGGCCAGACCCACCATTTATACAAAATTGGTTCCCCTTTACCCAAGAATGCTTCAGACCAAATATGGACCAAATCCTTTCATTCCTACAGAAGAAGAAGGATTTTAAAGAATAATTTGCTATGTTTCCCCTATTGGGCCCCGCCCCTCAGGCCCCTGGGGGGCCACACCCATGGTTTATACAAAATTGGTTCCCCTTCTCCCAAGGATGCTTCAGACCAAATATGGAACAAATCCTTTCATTCCTACAGAATAAGAAGGATTTTATATAATTTGCTATATTTCCCCTATGGGGCCTCGCCCTTCAGACCAAAGGGGGGCCAGACCCGCCGTTTATATTGGTTATTATACCCTTTATCAATACTGCAAAAGTTGACTTTTAAATATTTCTTCCAATTCCAATATCGAGACTGTCCATGTTGAGCCCATTCCTTCTTTCCCAAGAGGGACCACACATTTCAATTATATGACATTGAATTCTCTCGCCCCAGGGATGCTTCATACCAATTTGTTCCAAAATTCAATTGGCCACCTTAGCTGACTAGTGGTCTTACAAATGAAAAGTGACAGGTGACCAATGGCGCACCATACTATATGATCACTTGGGCAGGTGAGCTAACAATCGGTAACAAATCATCACCAGGTGTTTAGGAGAGACGTATGATCAACTACTCACCTTGAGTTTCCTCCTGGCGTTGAATTTCTTCAGGCAGTCTACAGTCTCCTGTCTGTGAACCACAGATGCCACTCTCTCACGTTGCTGAAAAAGAACAATATGTTAAATTTATTATCACAGAAATAAGTGCTACTGATAGTCAAGCAGGTCAACTTTCTATCCTAACTCTAAACACTTCCTGGATTAAAACAGGATATTAGTCATTCTTAAATAAACTTTTCCATACATATCTCAATAAGATTTTAAACTGCCAATCTTTCTAAAAATAAATACAAGGTATAAACTACAATAGATTTTACCTGGTTATTGATGAATTATTATACAAGTTTATACTACATGAGGGTAATCAGGCCAGTCCGCAGTAGGGGGACTTGATCAAACCTACCCTAAATTTCACATTACCTGCACAGGCTAGCCAGCTACAATGCGGTTCTCGGTGACAATTCAACCCAATCATCAGGTCCCATGCACCCTGTTATCATTTACATTTGAACAATATCTGATAAAGGTATTAAACAAGAAACCCCCTTCAAATGTTTCAAGGTTGTTTGCCCTTTAAAAAACACATTGTGTTAAGTGTGATTCCTTATCTCATTACAACACTTCTGGACAACACAGGCTACCATACATGTACTAGTAAGGAGAAGGTCAAGGACTCTTATTATCACTGTCCAGTTCTGGAAGTATCACAGCCTCAACCAATCAGACTGCTGTATCATACATTAATAACTGAGCTGCAACGGTGCAATGGAGACAAACATTGAACTCATCTCCTAATGCAGAGGCCAGTTCCATTTCCATGTATCTTTTATCTCAATGTCAATTAGACTACAGCCTTCTTGACCATACCTAGCCATTAACTGACAGCTTATATAAGTCCTATGAGTTTGTTTTTGTTTTTAAGTGTTCAGGTAATTTGAAGGAAAATGTTTCAACAATCACTTTTATCATGACGTATATCAAATTAGACTATCATTTTCCTCTCGAGTCAAGTCAGTAATTGTGATATGTAAACCTACCAGAAATATTTATGAAAAAACAATTATTGTAACAATGTATATATCACAATGATAACAGAGAATGTCTTTCAAAAACAATATTTCTATATTGTAGTGCAGCAAGCACACATTGTGTCAAGTCTTCCAGAGTTACCTCCCCTGCATAAGGAAATTCATCTTTCCCAGAACAACATAAACTGCAGAGTAATGAATACTGGACTTCAGATTGCATATGGTTTCAGCATTCAATACAGAGATATCATAATGCCTGAAGGAAACTGATAATCCTCAATCACTGACTATTTGATATATATATTTGATCTGTAATTCCAATCATGTCTTGATCATCTCAAAGCACCTCACTACCTGACCTTTGTATAACCCTGAGCCCCAGACTGTCTAGTTTATACCCCTAAAGCCCCTCACTACCTGACCTTTGTATAACCCTGAGCCCCAGACTGTCTAGTTTATACCCCTAAAGCCCCTCACTACCTGACCTTTGTATACCCCTGAGCCCCAGTCTGTCTAGTTTATACCTTTAAAGGCCCTAATAAGAAGCCTTTACTCCTTCTGTTATTTAACCAACCATGTCCACCCATTACTCCCATTGTTTGGTCTATACACCTTGTCCTAGGCAGCCAATCAGCCACCCTACTTACGCATATCCAGGGGTGCTTCAGTGCCTCTGTGGCATTGATACGCTTTGCAGGGTTGACTGTCAGCATACTGTTGATGAGATTCTTGGCCTCTGGTGTGACCGTGTCCCATTCTGGGGAAGGGTACTGCAAGCAAAAAGAACAAGCATATTGAAGTATAGCAAAGCAATACATGTCATCAGCTATTTACATCATGTCCTTAAATGACCTCAGCTGTTAATAGGACGCTAAACAAAATACAAGAGGCCCAATGGGCCTGCATCGCTCACCTGGTATAAATCTCACACTTGTAACCTTAAAAGTGATCTAAAATAAAGCTACAGGCAAAATAAAATTTTAGTATTTATGAAAAGTTCATTCAAAAGAACCTGTTATTTTTTTTGTGATTGAAAGTCAAACAAAGTCATTATGTTGAACAAATTTTATAGCCTTTCATCTCGGGATGCAACTTGCAAAGTATCAACATCCTGGGACCCATGGTTATTCAGAAGAGGTCGTTTAAAGATTTTAAACAAATTTGACCCCTGTGACCTTGAATATAAGTCAGTCATTCACTTTAACAAACATAGTAGTCCTTGATCCCAGCATGCTACTGACTAAATATCAACATCCTGAGCCTTTTGGTTATTCAGAACAAGTTGTTTATTTATTTTTATATATTTTGAACATATTTGCTCCTTGTGACCTTGAATATGATTCAAGGTCATACATTTAAACAAACTTGGTAGCCCTTGATCCTAGTATGCTACTGACTAAATATCATCACCCTGGGCATTTTGGTTATTCAGAAGAAGTTGTTTAAAGTTTTTAACATATTTGACCCCTGTGACCTTGAATATGGGTGAAGGTCATTCATTTGAACAAACTTTGTAGCCCTTCATCACAGCATGCTACTGGCCAAATATCAACACCCTGGGCATTTTGGTTATTCAGAAGAAGTTGTTAAAAGGTTTTTTAAGACAATTGACCCCTGTGACCTTGAGTATAATTGAAGGTCATTAATTTGAACAAACTTGGTAGCCCTTCACCGAAGCAGGCTACTGGCCAAATATCATCTCCCTGGGCAGTTTGGTTATCGAGAAGAAGATGTTTAAAGTTTTTAACATATTTGACCCCTGTGACCTTGAATATGGGTGAAGGTCATTAATTTTAACAAACTTTGTAGCTCTTCATCCCAGTTTGGTTCTGGCCAAATATCATCACCCTAGGCCTTTTGGTTATTAAGAAGAAGTCGTTTAAAGTAAAATATTGACGCCGGACGCCGCGCCACGGCATAAGCTCACTTGTCACTTCGTGCCAGGTGGGCTAATAACCAAATCAGCTATTTACATGTCATTGCCAGGACAAATATTAGATTTAAACTTTTAAGCCTTGCCCAACATTGATCTTGTTGGTACAGACAATAATATGACCTTTTTCTGTTACTGTACTTTTATTTTGGGTTATAGATGAGGGAAAAGTCCATAGCACATCATTTAGTTCTGATGTATCCATATAAAAATTTCATAAAAAAAACAAATTTGCCTTTTAAAATGCTCAGACAAATATTACAATTGTTACACATTGTCTAGTTTAGTCTGAAATAAATAACATGTCGGTAAACATGTAGTTCGACTAAATCTGAAGGTATTAGATGGCTGACTACCGAAAAATACTTCTTGGTTGACATTGCATTCAGTCACATGACAAACCAACCTATATAAGATAGTTGATAAAATCTACTCTGTTGTGAAAAACTGTTCTGTAAAGATATGGAACGGTTTTTATCCATACAATGGCAGAGATAAACAAATAATCTTTCAATCCGTTTATGGAAAACATGTGGACATGCTTGGCATACAAGAAAACACTGAGTGAAGTGAGCACCAAACCCAGTGCCTCAATTTTTCTTTTTTCTTTTAAAGAGATAGACTGTTATATTGGTAAAGTTGTGATACATCCAGTCCTAAGGTTTAAAGGAAATGAGGTGAACCCCTATACAAACTTACTCCTTTAATTCATTCTATCCATGGATACTCATTTGGTTTGATAGTGTGTAGGACAAGATTGATTACAGTTAAACACGATCAATTAGCAATTATCCTAACTCCAGATATGCATATTTGCTGTTGCTAATAATTTCAATTATCTGTAATATTTGATTATATTTCCTCGTTTTTCACATTAATAAATTTCAAATGTTCTAGTCACATGTGATGTCTATTGAACTAACTGGGTTAATGTTTTAAGCAGCAAATCAATACTTACATCATAAGCCCCAGCCTTGATCTGAGCATAAAGTCTGTGCTGATCCTCATCCCAGAATGGGGGGTAGCCCACCAACAGGATATATAAAATCACACCTACAAAAGCATAATAGTGACATTATTAGGGGTACTACGGCACACTTGTGCTGATTCTCATCCCAGACTGGGGAGTAGCCCACCAACAGGATATATATAGAATCACACCTACAAAAGCATGATAGTGTCATTATTAGGGGTACTACGATACACTTGTTTCTCATCCCAGACTGAGGAGTAGCCCACCAACAGGATATATAGAATCACACCTACAAAAGCATGAGTGTCATTATTAGGGGTACTACGATACACTTGTGCTGATTCTCATCCCAGACTGGGGAGTAGCCCACCAACAGGATATATATAGAATCACACCTACAAAAGCATGATAGTGTCATTATTAGGGGTAATATGGTAATTATATATATAACCTGTTCACATCAAAGTTGACAAAATAACTTCATGTTATAACTAGGTATCTAAACACAATACTAATCCAGCCAATCAATGTTAAAAGTAGAGGGATGACTTGGTTTGATTTTTGTATTAAACTGTAGCTTTTTTATGCGTGCTGAATGTAATGCTCAATCTATAGCAACAGTGACTTAATCTTTAATTTTGCCTTGAAAAGGAGTCCTTTCATTAAGAAGACTGACCAATATCAGCAATCTATGAAGCTTCAATGTGATTGGTTAACTGAAACTGGAGCTGTTGTACGAAAACAAAATTTCTATTGAAACTAAGATTAACCAACAGATTTAAAATGTACTTCCAAGCAACGCTAGGTAAGTAAGTAGTATATGAAGCTAGAGTTTGGGCAACCCTTGCAAACTTGACTTACTGAGCAGAAACCAAATTTCTATGTAAGTGACATTGATGTTGCCCTTTGAGCTTTGGACCTGAAAATCCCAAGCATACACTTTCATGAAGGAACAGTATATGGAGTTTGAGTGTTATAGGCCAATGAGAACTATATGGTTATTGCACACAAAAAAATAAAAAAATCCAGTGACCTTAACCTTGCACCTTCAGAGCTGTAAGACTATCCCAAGCAAGCACTCTCTATAAGGAAGCAGTGGATTGAGTTGGAGTTTGATTGGGCTATGGGAAACCAAGCTATTGAACAGAAACTAATTTCTATTTAATGTACAAACATCTTTGACCTCTGACTTATAGACCTGAAAAGGAAGCAGTGATGTCTGTTACATAAATTAACTAAGGCAGAGAATTCATAAGGTGGAATATGTATACATGTGTACACATCAGAAAGTAGTAACTTCAACTCCTAACAGAACTTTTCAGCAGTCATTTATTAGTTGGAATATGGTACAGGTGTTGGATATACCAAAGTCAAAGAGTAAATGAAGTTGTTCAGACTGGGACATTCATTAGATATGCTACGGTAATATGTGATGATAGAGACACCTTACCACATGCCCATATATCTACAGGCTTCCCATAAGGGTCTTTTCTCAGGACTTCTGGGGACAAATAGCCAGGAGTTCCAGCGAAGCCTGCAAAAAAAAGAATTCATATCAAAGCATCATTATTATGCATGAGATTGCCAAGCACCAAGAGACTAGGAGCCAGACACACTTTCCGACATGATCTTCAAATTGATGAATGAAAAGTTCACCAACCATATTCAAGTCCTGTCTTAGGGAAGTTACGACATGGTCTGATGTATACCACCGATCACATTAAAACAACATCAAATGTCTTAGTAGTTTTACATAACTGACGAGAAGTATTTATCAATGTCTTGAATTTAGATATATGTCGTCGTTATAGTACAAACAAAATGTCTAGCTTTACTAGTCAAATCTCAGTATTGTAGGTGTCTCCACCCTCCCCACCTTCTGTACATGTATGTATTATATACTTCACATAGATATTGACATTCTCCAAGACTTAATAATGATCATTAGGATATCAAGCAATCAATTACTTATATGAAGAAACCTTAAAACTCCACAAATTCATCCAGATATCACTCCTGTTTTACAGTGAAAGAGAAGAGAATCGGTAAAGCTACAGAGGAGCTTGTGTAGCCCTTGGGAGGCTGTGGCAGTTAATCGGTTGAGTGACATTATGTAGATTGGGACACTGTCCAGCCTCTGGATAAAATTGTCGACTAGATAAGGATAATCAACAACCTTATTGGCTCTACCACTGACCTATCAAGCCTCCATTAGGATTACCATCAAGTGCGACCATTCACATTCTACCGAGTCATCCATGGCTAAAACTCCCGACATTGATTCTATCAGCCTACACTCTCTGTAGACTGGTGATGGGCAAGTTCATTGTAGTGTTTTATTAAGGCCAATCCTGGGTACACAGCTATGGTGGCACAATTTTCTCGATTGGAACTGTGTCTGTCTTGGAGAATTCCCTGGACACGTGTGATCTGTGAGAGATCTGTCTATTGTACACAGAGGAAGTAGCCGTGGTTAAATGGCCTGGCCATCAGCGCCATGGTATCAATTTTTAAAATATATGCCAAATGTCAAGGATATGCTACTCATCCTGAGGTAATATCAATGTATAATTATGAACCAAAATATATTACATTGACCTTGACCTAAGGATGAAAATCAAATAAAACCTCCAGAAATAGCTAAGTGAATTACACTAGGGTAGACAGATTGGTTTCTCTTGTTAGCTGACAATAGAGTACAGAGAAGATGATGGTAAAGGTAACATTTACTGATGGAATCAATTCATATTTCTTTCCCAAATATTTCTTTTCCCACTGCATAGGAACAATCTTGCATTAATTTAATTCTTGACATTTCTTCACTAGGAACACAATCTTCACATATACATTCAATCAAGACCTAAAACTGTCGCCAGAATGACAGACTAATGCCCCCACATGCACCAAGAACTATAATCCTATTAAGATTTTTTTCGAAAAAATGGCATAACTTCATAAATAGGGAAGGTCACTCCAATTTCTATATTTTATTCTCTTTGATGAATGGGTTCTGTGTACAAAGTATCATTTAAATCAGTACTGTAATTTGGGAGGAAAAATGTGAACAACATTTTTAAACTAAGGGGCATAACTCAATAATTAGAGGAGGTCACTTCAGTTCTTACTGATCCTGGATGTTAGGGTTCTATGTACCAGGTATCATTCAAATGCATGGGTTTTTTTTTGAAAGGGTAGAAGTCAATGAATAAAGTTGGTAACCCAATGTATACAGTTTGCTTGCATCCTCTAGATGTAAGGGTTCTGTGTTACAGGTTGGTAACCCAATATATACACTTTGCTTGCATCCTCTAGATGTAAGGGTTCTGTGTTACAGGTTGGTAACCCAATATATA